CAGGGGCAGCTCTGTGGGCAAGGGAGGGGGTGGGGTTGCTATTCTTAGGGGAACTGGCTGCCTCTGTCTCTCAACCCAATCCTCCTGTGGATTTATCTGTTGCCCATTAGACTTTTGCTGTGACACCCCCACTCTGGGTATTACACACTGAAGGAATCTCCTATTTACATTTGAAATACAAATAAAACCCCTCCATTTACCTTTACCCGTCACTGCTGGCCTTGGGAACCCTGCCAGAAATTAGGGTATCAAAGGTTGAATGATGCCCCTAAGGCTTGGGTACCCCCAAAACACTGCCTCTATTCATCAAGGACTCGAAATTCTCTGCCATGGTAGAAAAGGGGGAAGGTTCTTCCATAGTGTCAAAGGATTGCATGTTAAATTTCCGGAATTAAACAATTCTGTGTGGCGGAATCAATTATTTGTATGACAAATACTTAGGGAGCACCTGCTACGTGCCAGGCGCTGTGTAAGGCAGAGGGGAGACAACGAGCTCACGGGAGAAGCAGGAAACAACCCAAGAATAAGCTCTGGGTGCCGCGGAACCATGAAGGAGAAGTGGCACTTCCAATCGGGGGTGGAGGAGTCAGGTAAAACTTTCTGGAAAAAGCAGAACAACTCCACCTTGTTCCTCTAACTACTTAAGGCTGGGTTGCATTTCTCAGGCACTCAAGGGAAAAAAAATAAGTTTTCATTTCCAAAGCTTGCTTTGTTTCAGTTTTACCAGCTCCCTGGGCTTCAGTAAAATAGTCGAGAAGGGACACTCCCTCAGACTACCCAGGTGTGGAAACTGATTAAATAGCAACTAGCGGCTCAATTAACCCTTGCCCCTTTGGTTGATTATCTCAGTGAAATCTTATAATCTCCTTGCTAAATGAGTCCTACAACTAGGAGAACAGCACATCCCCAACATAGATGCAGCCCTTTTATTCCTTGGCTGGAAATGAGATCGTTGGGACTTGCCTCAGCCGATAGATAACTGAATAATTTAGAAAAGTCCTCACTCTGTTTTGCCTACAGACTCTTAGACTGCAGTGGTATTGCTACATTGCCTGTACTAATGAAACGCCAGACAGGCCATCCTTGACTGTCATTTAAATTAGCTCTGGCCACACTATACCATTATCTTGTCTCTCTCTCTCTCTCTTTTTTTTTTTAATAAAATGTACTGCAATCTGTATTTGTCACTCATTTATAAGCTTCATGAGAGGAGGACCCTCCTCGCCCCCCTCTGCACTTAATCCACAACACTTTTAACAGTAGTGGGCACAGGGTCAGTTCTCAGTATTTGCTGAATGAACTGCTACCATTTACTGAGCATGTACTATGTGCTAAGATCTTTAAATCTATGATCTCACCTAATCCTCATACCAACCTTATGAGTTAGGTGCTCTTATTACCTCCCCGCCCCCCCAACCCCCATCCATTTTACAGATGACAACAGTTAAGAAATACGCCTCAGGTCACTCATATAAATAGCAGAGGTGAGCTCCAAACCCTCACTGGGACTCCAAAGTTTGCACTCTTTACCACTGTGACAGAGCTACTATCCTCCTGCACTTCCTGGTTACAGCTTTGGAGTCAGAATGCTCTAAGCAAAATCCTATCATTTAACACAGAGCCTCGGAATTGGAGAGGATTTTCTCAAATGCTCTGGACCCTCATGAAAGCTTCCTAAAGACAAAGGGCCAAGAAGAAACCCAGGAGCGAGTCTCAGCATCAAACTTACACACAGGGATATGAAAGAGAGGGCAGGGAGGAGGAAGGCAGTGAATGCAAGAAGCTTCTATTTTCTGCCAGGTCCGTGTTTATAAATACCACTCTATTAAAGTGGTTTCTCTACATCCTGTAAGGAAGCCATGAAGATATCATCACTTAATGACACTACCCTGGGAACACGGACATCGATACCAAACGAGCAAGTGATATTGAACTACTGCTGCTCTGTGAAGCTGAGATCATGTCGTATAAACACTACAGAACTTTTATCATCCATCTTGGGCTGAGCAAAACCATATTTGCCCAGCACTCTGAGTAATGGCCAGGAATAGATGGATTAGGGCCCTTAAATTCCTGGTTGGAAGACATTAAAAGTTTAACAGCTCTATATAGCTGAGTCAAATACATGTGCCCATGCTGTATAATTAGCAGGCACAACAACAATAAAGATATAATTGGAAGGGAAGACCAGCAGGACAAGAATACGAACCGGCACCCTCCTCCTGGGTGTAGCCATTTCTCACTTGGTCTTCAGCTGTGTAAACGGTAACCTTGCTGGCCTTGGGCTTCAGTGTAACAAAGGTTTGGATCGCCCATTCCTTACAGAAGCAATTTCTGCTTCCCTCTGAAGTCAGCTTTCAGGCATAAGTAATCCATTGCTCCTATACCAAACATACATCCCACTCTGTCTAAAAAGACTTCATAAATCAGCCTAGTTATTGTTTACTGAGGCCAGGTTCTCACCTACAGAAAATGAGCATCCATGTTACTAAGTGGAAGCGAATGGTCGCCTTGCCTGCAAGAGACTTCCCTGGAACCAGGGAATGCACAGAGGGAGATGCTTGCTCTGAACATCCAGGGAGCTTTGCTGTCAAGTGCAGTCCTGCCATCTTGACCACCGTGGCTTAGGAAGGATTGCTCAGGGGCACCTGGGTGGCTTGGTGGGTTAAGCGTCCGACTTCGGCTCAGGTCATGATCTCACGGTCCGTGAGTTCGAGCCCCGCGTCGGGCTCTGTGCTGACAGCTCAGAGCCTGGAGCCTGTTTCAGATTCTGTGACTCCCTCTCTCTCTGCCCCAACCCTGTTCATGCTCTGTCTCTCTCTGTCTCAAAAATAAATAAACGTTAAAAAAAAAAAAAAAAGCAAAAAGAAGGATTGCTCGGCATGGGAGAAGAGGGTCAATTGGGGAGTCAAAAACCCATCCTGCAAAGAAAATCCCAAGGAGTGATGACCCTAGATAAGAAATGGCCCTTTGGGATAAGCCCTTTAGTGGAAGACACCTGTGTTCTAGCAACTTCTGGCTACTCTGCATCTTCAGGGGACCCTGGAGAGGCAGCTGTTCTTTCTAGCTCCAATTTGCAGTTGGAAAAACTGAGAAGTTCCTCAACCTGCTGGGCACCAGCTGTGTGTGCAGGGCATTTTGGGTTTTGTTTGGCACCTACTGTTCCATTTTTGTTCTAGTCTGGTTTATAGGCACAGGGCCTCAGTCTTTTCCCCTAGGGGGCTTTACTTCTTTGAGCTCAGTCTGGGCCTCCCCCTCAGCCCAAAGTACAGGATTCTTCCCCTGGGCTAGGACGGTGGGTGGAAATCCCCCTGCCCTCCACTTCCTCTCCTGGAGCACACGTTTGCTGCCACAAACCCAGAGGGCAAAGCACAATTATCAGCTGTGACATCATCAACAGAGATTCTGGGCTGACCTGAACTCTGACCTAAGAGGAGGAAAATTAAAAGGCAAATGCTCTTCTCTTCCAGGCATCTCCTTTGGTGGTGCCAGAATTAAAACCAAAAACCAAGGAAGGTCTAAGCAAAGCCATGCTGCTACATACAAACTATCTTCTAGGCCTCTAAATGAGGCCTCAAATGTCAGCTGCCCTCCTTGGTAACTGGACTAATTAAAACTGGACTAAAAACAAAGCTGTTACCTCCTCCCTGATGGCTAAAAGCTTGAACTCTGGAGCCTGCCTAGGCTCAAATTCCAGCTTTGTCACTTAATATCTGTGTAATCTTGCGCAAACTGCTTAACTGCTGGGTACCTTGGTTTGCCCATCTGTATGATGAGGATAATACTATGAAGTACCTACCTAATAGGGTTGCTAGGGTTTCTTAACCTCTAAAGTGCTAAGAACAGTGACTGAGAATACCGTTAACTGTGCTCACTTTAAATTTTAGCTATTACGATGTTCAACCACATTTAAAGTTGACTCCCTTTCTCCCTTTTCAGTACCCACCTGGCCTCTTCTGCTGACTACTTGTTTGCCACTGAAAGCTGTCCCAAAAATGGCCTTCTGATCCGGCTGCATGGATGTCTAGCCATGGTACCATTCTAAATAATTTATGGTTTGCTGACTTCTGAAACTGGAGTCTGGTAGGCAGTTTGCTGTTAAATGTATGTCACACCCTAACCTTACCAGGGAGAAGGTCAAGTGCTTCCCTTCCACCCTTTGCACTGAAGCCTTGTCCTCCTTCAGAGAAATGCAACTACTGAGTGGTTCCTTCCTCATCACGCAGCTGCCCACCCCCCACACCTCTTCCCCATAAGCAAGTTTGTTGGATCATCATCTCTTTCAGGAAAGCCCATAAGGCTGCGCATTTAGTACAACACAGGGTTTTAATCAATTGCTCACTCGGTTGGTGACAGCTTAGAAATTCAGGCCCTAGGAGCCACGTATGTGGTTCTCTTTCCAGAAAGGGAATTCAGCAATTTCCATTGTCTTGGGCACATACAGGTAAGAACCCACCACTACTTCTCCACCTTCCAGGAGAAGGCCTGAAGTGCACCCTTCAACCCAGCAAAGCCCAAGGCAGCTGCACCCGATCCTGGGCCTCCTGCTCCCTTCCTCCCCTCTCACTTATCCCAAACTCAGGTCTTAGAGTTTGGATCCTCTGGCTGCTGCTATTGGGCTATAGGGTCAGAACCACAGTCCATCTGCCCTGCTGTTGGGGAAAGACCACTAGCGACCCAGTTAAGCAAGGCAAAGAGAGGCAGGGCAGTAACCTTCGCATCAAATGAAGTTAAGGAATGGCTTGGTCAAGAGCCTCAATCAGCGAACAGCATCCAGATAGTGACAACAATACGAAGAACACAATGTTCTTCAACCTCAACTTTGTCCTCCAAAAGACAGGCATCAGAAGAACTATCTTTGGCAAGAGCCATTTAATGGACTCCACCCTCAGAACAAACGCTTTCTCCCAGATCCTGGCACACTCAACCAGCTTCGCCCTTGGGTAGCCCAGGGCGGGATTTCTCTCCCATCTGTCCATGGCCGAGACCCGCACACTTACCATTGGCGTTCTTGCCACAGATGAGATGTTCATAGGGCTGCAGGACGCCCCAGAGCTCGGCGTCGTTGTTGATGACCATCTCCAGGGCCTCGGCGGACACCTCCCCGCCCCCAGCCCCTCCACCGTCGGGACTCTGGCTGGCCAGCACCCTGGCCCGAATCTCCTCTACCAGGTTCTCCATGCAGGCCGTGAGCGAGATGGCCGCGTACTCGTGGATGCGCACGGAGATGCGGGTGTCCACCATCCAGCGGAAGAAGCGGCCCACGGAGAAGGTGAGGCCACAGCGCGCGGACTTGCCCCGGCGCAGCCCGTCCCCGGCGCTCATACTATACAGTGACAGCGCCTTGACCGCAGCCAGCGCGCAGCTCTCGGCCAGCGCCCAGCTGTGCACCAGGCGCACGGCGCTCTGCACCTCGAAGCGGGTGCACTTGGCGTGCAGCACGCTCAGGCGCTGCGCCTCGCGGGCCACTCGGATGAGCGCCCTGCGGAGCAGCCCAGCCAGGCGCCGCACCGCCTCGGCAGAGAACAGGGGCAGCCGCCGGCCGCCGGCGCCTTTGCGAAGCACCCGGGCCACGTCTCCCTCCGTCCAGGGAAACTCCTCCAGCTCGGGGAGGCGCGGGCAGCGCGAGAAGAGGTCCGCCACCTCGGGGTCCTCGGGCAGCACCGTGTTCACCGTGTCCCAGCTGTTGTGGCGGCTGTTCATGGAGCCGGAGTAGCACCACCAGGCCGCCCCGCGGTGCTGCTGCGCCGAAGAGTTGAGCGCCTGCGAGTTGGACTTGGAGGACGAGAGGCTGAGTGAGCGGCACGAGTCCCCGGCCCCATACCCGGAGTCCAAGGTCAAGTCCTCCAACGTCTTCAGAGTGGAGCTATACGTCCCGGCCATGGGGAGCCTGCCGGTCGCGGCCTCGCCGAGCAAGGGGCGCTCACAACTCCATGCTTCCTTTCCCAAGTGGGCAGAAACAGACTCTAGGCTCTCCGGGACGCCCTCCTTCCTCTCGGCGTCCACATCGTCCGCCCGGAGGCCGGGGGGGAAGGTGGGAGAGATTCTCGGCGGCCGGGGCCCCACGCGCCCGGTGTCCGAAGCGAAGCTGTCACTGGAACGGTCCCCGCCGCTCCTCCTCGGCACTCCCCCTGGCCCACCTCAGCTTCCCGCCGGCAGAGCGTCTGTCCTCCGCAGAGAAGGAATCCCGAGCGAACAGGGCGGCGGCAGAAGGAGGAGGCGGCTCGCGGCGCCGCGCGAGTCCAGAACCAGCCGGCGAGAAAGCGCTCGGCAAACTTCTGCGCGGCGCTGGCGGCCCGCACAGCTGGGTACCCGGCCGCCGCCGGCATGCAAATAACCCGGGGCGCCTCACCAATCATCGTCCGCGACGGGCATGAGATGCACCAATGATCTCCTCGAGGGGCGGTCACTATGCAGATTTCACTGGGCTGCGGGTGAAACCCCGCGGCGGCGGAGGCGGGGCTGGAGGCCGAGGGGTCGGATGAAGCCGCCGGGATGAAGGTGGAGGAGGGGGAAGGGAGAGTCGGCGAGCGGCGGAGCGCGCTGGGAGGTGGGAGCAGAGACCGGGAAAGGAGGGGTCGAAGCGTTAGTCTCGGGAGCTGACGATTTAAAGAAAAATTTAAAGGAAAACCCCCTGTGAGCAGCCCCCCGCCCGCCGTCCAGGCTTTGGGCGTTCGCAGCTCCTTTTCAAGCCCTCTGCAGCCTACCACCAAGGCTGACTTATCAAGTGTGGGTCTGGAGGTGGGAGGAGTGGGGGAGGGGGCACAAACCAGGCACCCCACCTCCCTCTGGGACTTTCTGGCAAGCCCCTCCCGTTTTCCTAGATGAATGAAACTTCCCTTGTGTTTAGAGGGAGGAGGGACCCCCCTTCTTGCTTCTCCCGAATCCGTCTGGTTTTCTTTACGTTGCCATCCAGGTTGCAAACGGAGCAGATCTGATGAATAGACTGGCTCCAGGAGGCCTGTGATCCCCTCTCTCCCCACCACTTGAACTTACGTAGTTTTCTGAGTATTACTCGGGGGAGAGGGTCCTAATTTGTGTCAGATTCTCAAAAGGGCCCGTGACTTCCCTGTTACAGCTGTACAGTACTGCTCGCTGTCAGGTGGATCCTTTCTGTCTGAAGTGCGAATGTCCCAGCGGGTGTGTGAAGGTGAGACATTTACCGAGTATTGGCCTGCGCTCCGAACAGCTGGCTGCATGCACCACCTCCTAATGGTGTGCCAGTGGGCAAGCCCCCTGCCCCCTTGGGACTTGGTCCCCCCCCCACCCCGGGGTGAAATGAGTGCTGTCCTCCAAAGCGGTGCCGTTGTAAACCTGTTTCAGGGCCTGTGTCCAGAAGCGGTCAGTGGGAGCGCGACTCTTTTCCAGCAGCGCCACGCCCAGTCCACTCCGTCCGGCTGCTGTCCTGCAACTGTTCGCACACACGTGCTCGAATGTGCATATGCTCCCTCCCGTGGAACCGCAAAGTCAAGGAGGAGATTGTGCACGCGTTGCCCCCCAAGTCAGTTTCCCGTGCTCCTGAATGGCCCCTTTGTGCTCTATCTTACACAGTTCCAACCTGAGGCCGTGAGGTGGATACGAATTAGAAATATCTGGTTTGTCTCTTTCCTTCTGAGATTAATGGCCCTTCCCCTGTGAAACTCCTTTTTCTTTAGCAGTTTGGCTTAATTTGGCCTCTCTGCGGTCTTTATTTATGCAATATCGCCGCCTCGTGGTCGGAAGTGGAAACCGAGTCCAGGATGAAAGTGATACGGGACCCAAGTTCACAGAGATCAAGTTAACAGAGGACACAAGATGTGACTACATCTGATAGAAGTGACATAAGAAGTGAAAAGTAGGTATTGAGGTTCAACTTGCCAAAAATTCGAAAACAAATATGATGCAATTTAAAACTTAGTGAGGGAAACATAATTTTAAAGCAAATGTCGCCCTCTAATGGACTTTTAGAAGAAATTCCCCACAAGTTTGGGTTTTTTTCTTTTTCTTTTTGTTGTGCGCATACTTAATAAGCAGAGAAAATTTCTTTTTTAAATGTTTAATTTTTAAATGTTTATTTTGAGAGAGTGAGAGACAGAGAGCGGGTGGGTAAGGGGCAGGGAGAGAGGGAGACACAGAATCCGAAGCAGGCTCTAGGCTCAGTACAGAGCCTGTGGCTGGGCTGGGACCCACCAACCATGAGATCATGACCGGAGCCAAAGTCAGAGGCTTAACCCAACCAGGCTCCCCAGCAGAGAAAATTTCTGAACTGGAAATTTACAACAGGGAATTGGAAAAGTTATCTGGGAAAGAGCCAATGGCATTTATCTTATATTTAAGTGACTTGATGGCATAGAAGTGTAAATATAATCAAACAGGCTACAGCCAAATTTCAGAATATTGTGTATATTAAACTACACCGCAAGGATTTGTTCCACAAAATTCAGCCCTGGAAAATAATACTGGAAAAACAACTGAGTTTCATTAATAAATTACAAGGAGAGAAAGAGATGGATAGGAAACCTATACACTAAAAAGGACTTAAGCCATATTGACTAATTAGCCATAATGTGTGGAATGTATTTGGAATTTGATTTTTTTTTAATCAATAAACATTTGACATTATGAAACAATTAGAAATCAGGAACACCACCCAGATCTTTGCTATTATGAAATGATTGTTACTTTTTTGGTGTGGTAATGGTAGTATGGTTTTGCTTATTAAATATTCTTATCTTTTAGAGACACATACTAAAGTAAGTGTTTTGTAATTTTCTTCATTAAAAAAAAGGAAGAAAATTCCTATGGGAAAACCCATTAAAGGGACTAGAAGGTGGTTAAGATTGTAGACCTCTTGTCTTTCATATGCTCATTAGAGTCTTCTATTGCCGACTTGAAGACTTGAAGAATGTGTCTCTTTGTGTTTTGTGTGATGGGGGGAGAAAGAAAATGAGGAAGAGCAATAGAGATAGAGAACAAGATACATGAGCTGTGTTAGAAATTAACCAACTGATTGATTTCAGTTAATCTTCTGGGAGGTTGCAAGCGGGGTGAAAAACTTTGGATCAAGAAAGAAAGGGCATGGCTTCTTACACATACGTGTGTGCGTTTAATTAAGGCAATCCGGTGGTAATGTGCTTAATGTTAGGAATGCAAATTATATTAGAGCAAAAGAAAGTATTGTCCCAACCCAGGCCTGGCCCAAACATCATTTTTGGAAAAAAAAAAAAACAACTGTCATGTATCTGGACAGGTTAAAAAGCACATGATGAAACCATGGCAAACATTGGGAGAATTCCCAGTGGAGTGAGCAATTAAAAATCTGGGATTGCCCATGGAAAAATCATATGAGAAGCTTGAAATAAAATTTAGAAACTTTACTTTGGCTGACATCTCGTATTCGGTTATACATTTTCTAACAAAATCAATCTGGATATTAAGGAACAAAATACCCTAGAATTTATCTTGAAAGGGAAGTGGTTAAAACTATTCAAGGACAGACAGAACTCTCATAGGAGACAGATAGATCATGTCCTTGACTTTATTTTTTTTTTTTTTGGTTTATGCAACTTTATTGAAGAAAAATAAATCAATTACTAG